ACTATTGTTCTAACTGTGTACAATGGAATCATGATGGTTTTATTTCACTCAATCTGTCCATCTTTTCCTTCTTCATCCATGTAGTCTCGTCCAACTCTCTATGATGCTAGGACAGGGATCGTGCAAAGAAGGTCCTCTTACCAGTTCGACACCAACGTAGATCACCTTTACAAGGCTAACCACCAGGCAATAATAGAGCATGATTTCTCCCGTCCACCAGCACAGGGCTTCTTCCTCCATCTCCCTGGCCTCACAACCCGCAATATCCTCCTGGGCCGCAAGGTCCTCCTGGGGCACCGAGGCAGCCTCTACCATAGGGATGTATCCAACGGAGGCTGAGTTCGAATGGTACCAGGAGTACAAGACAGGGAACGCCATCCGGACAGGAAACAGGGTGCAAAAATAGCCAAACGTTCATGGGAGAAAGGCAATGGCTGCCCAGCCGGCATCCTGGCCACTTCAGGGTTGGCAGCAGGTTTTTCCTGGAAGAATTAGAATCCACTTCTCGCATCATAATTGGAACCATGGGAACCAGGCAAAGATCCCTTTTATCCACACCATGGCTGTGTATCCTTGCTTACAACACAATGGATCCTACCTTTTGCATATAATTACTATAATTATTGTGATTGCATTTGCATTTGCCTTTTAATTTTAGGTAAAAATACTATTATTAATATCATTATTATTGCATTTTGTATTTTAATTTTGGGTAACATTATTATAATTGCATTTTGCATTTGTATTTTAATTTTGGGTAACATTATTACAATTGCATTTTGCATTTGTATTTTAATTTTGGGTAACATTATTATTATTGCATTTTGCATTTGTATTTTAAATTTGGGTAAAATTACTATTATTGCATATTGCATTTGTATCTTAATTTTGAGTATTATTATTATTGTATTTTGCATATGTATTGTAATTTTGGGTAAAATTACTATTATTGCATTTTGCATTTGTATTTTAAATTTGGGTAAAATTACAATTATTATTGCATATTGCATTAGTATCTTAATTTTGGGTATTATTATTATTATTGTGTTTTGTATTTGTATTTTAATTTTGGGTAAAATTACTATTGTTATTGCATACTGCATTTGTATCTTAATTTTGGGTAAAATTATTATTATTAATCCATTTTGCATTTCTATTTAAATTTTGGGTAGAACTACTACTATTATTATTGCATTACACATTTGTATTTTAATGCTGGGTAAAATTAATATTCTTGTTGCATTTTGTATTTTAATTTTGGGTAACATTATTATTATTATTGCATTTCTATTTCAATTTTGGGTAAAACTACTACTATTATTGTTGCATTTCACATTTGTATTTTAATTTTGGGCAAAACTACTACTATTTTTGCATTTCATGTTTGTATTTTACTTTTGGCCAAAATTACTACTATTATTGCATTTTGCATTTTACTTTTGGGTAACATTATTATTACTGCATTTTGCTGATCTATTTTAATTTTGGATAAAACTACTACTACTATCATTGCATTTGTATTTTGAGTAAAACTACTATTATTATTGCATTTTCTTAGTAGGTCTGTAGGTGGTTCGTATGTTGTGTTTCCTCATCAGCTTCCCTATGCGGTCAGTGGTTCCCTTAATGTATGGCAAGAACCCTTTTCCTCTGGGTGGATCTTCATCTTGACTCTCGTGGCTTGTTCTTGGTCTTGCAGCTCTTCTGATGTCTGAGGTGGAGTCTCCATTGGCCTGGAGAGCCCAGATAGATATCTACATAAAAACTCCAACCATCACCCAAGTCAAAAAAGAAGCACCATTAAAGCCTTGGCAGACCGTGCAAAAAGAATCTGCGAACCCCACCTCCTCCAAGATGAACTGAACCACCTCAACTGGGCTCTCCAGGCCAATGGCTCCGCTTGAAACTGATATCGAGCTACTTTTAGTAGGGTCTCCTCAAGAGAAGAGAACCCGAGGACCGCGCCAAAAGGGCCCTGGATACCTTGGTGAGGCCAGCGAAGCCAAATTGTGATAAAAATATTAAAAATAATAATGCCCCATCAAGGTGGAAGAAGTTTCCAGCAACCGAGGTTTATTTGTGATTCAGCTGAGATCAGATGCATTGCAGGAATCATTCCACCGCAAGCATACCAGTACAAAGAATACAGGCATATTTATAGCATGCAGACAAAGGGAAACAGTTTCAAAATTCCCGCCCACCCTCTGCCGGCTGGCTTCGTGCTGATTGGCTGGCCGCGGAACAGCTGGGAGGAGGCTTGGCGGCACGCCTCGCCCCCGGACCAATCAGCAGGCTCCGCCGCCTCTGGGGGGCTAATCAGTGCCTTCCTAGCGCTTCTGAAGATGGGCCAATCAGCAGCTAGGAGGCGGGACGAAGCTTGACAATGGCTGAGGAAATGATGAGCTTAGGGGCATCCGCCAGCTGAAATGTGAGGCTTTTGTCCTCACTGGCAGGGTGTGAGATAAGGGAATAATGGGTTTCCTGGTCTGTGATGGGATTTGAAGGAAATATGAAAAGGCTTTTTCGATATCGGACCTCAGGGGGGTCAACGATACCTTGATGATTTAATCAATCTTTTCTTTCCGAGTTTCTGTTGACCCCCTCCCCTCGCTGGTCTTGCTCCGAGGGCCAGGGTTGGGGATCAACAGTATTGTCCATGCTGGTGAATTAATCAAGGGTGATTGAGGGAGAGGCTGGAGCCCTCCCTCAGGCAGTTCCTGGTCACAGCAGTTTTTGTGGGGCAAGGGTCAAGGGGACAAGGGTACAGAGGAAATTCATAAGGTTACATACATATATCAAAATCATAGGCAATAGGCATCGCTGATACAGAGTTAGAACAGAAGAGGAACCCCATCCCACCCCATAAAGTTTATTTCAATATTTGATCTTTATTAAGGTCCAAACTGGAAATCCCATGCTCTTAGGAAGAGCGTGTGGAAGCAGAGGTTGCTAGCAGTTCAAATCAAGCATTGATAGAAAGTTCATGGCCAGGGTTGTGGCAAACAGTCCAGTCCACTCAGCAGAGAGTCATGGATTCAGGCTGGAATCAGCAGATGGGCGCTGAGTTGATCAATAACAGAATCCATCGTTCAGCCCTTGGGGAACTACAACTCTCACAAAAAGGCAGAAGTCCCAAGATCCAGCCATTTCCCAAAAAGCCTCGTGGGGTCCTTGTTGTTGTCAGTGCCTTGGCAATGTGGCCAAGACTTAACCCTTGTTGTGTAGTCTGGTGACCTTGCCCTTTGCAGAACTATAAGTCCTTATCCCTTAATTCTGAGGGGGGGGGGGGTGCCTGACATCAAGGCATCAGAAGAGCTGCAAGACCAAGAACAAGCCACGAGAGTCAAGATGAAGATCCACCCAGAGGGAAAGTGTTCCTGCCATACATCAAGGGAACCACTGACCGCATAGGGAAGCTGATGAGGAAACACAACATACAAACAATCTACAAACCCACCAAGAAAATCCAACAAATGCTACGTTCAGCAAAGGACAAGAGGGAACCTCTCACCTCTGCAGGAGTCTACCGTATACCATGCAGCTGTGGACAAGTCTACATAGGGACCACCAAACGCAGCGCCCAGACACGTATCAAGGAACATGAAAGGCACTGCAGACTACTTCAACCAGAGAAGTCAGCCATAGCAGAGCACCTGATGAACCAGCCTGGACACAGCATTTTATTTGAGAACACAGAAATGCTGGACCACACCAACAACCACCATGTCAGACTACACAGAGAAGCCATTGAAATCCACAAACATGTGGACAACTTCAACAGAAAGGAAGAGACCATGAAAATGAACAAAATCTGGCTACCAGTATTAAAAAATTCTAAAATTGCAACAGCAAAACAGCAGAGAGGAAACAGGCAGGGACATCTAATTACCTTTCAAGAAGAGTTTGCTCCAGGCACAGTCAGCCCATTGTATGCTAATCAAGGTGGTCAGTTGAAACATTCACACCTAGCTCCAGCAGACAAGAGTCCTTTGTCCCACCCTGGTCATTCCACAGATATATAAACTTTTTTTCCTAGTTCCAACAGACCTCACTACCTCTGAGGGTGCTTGCCATAGATGCAGGTGAAACATCAGGAGAGAATGCCTCTAGAACATGGCCCTATAGCTCGAAAAAACCCACAAGAACTTAATTACTATTATTGTTACATTTTGGATTGGTATTTTAATTTTGGATAAAATTACTATTATTTTAATTAGCAGTAGTAGTATTGCATTTGCATTATTATTATTAGCAGTAGTATTTTGCATTTTTATTTCAATTTTGAATAAAATTACTATTATTATTATTATTGCATTTTGCATTTGTATCATTATTCCATTATTATTTTAATGAGGTTAACATTAAAGCCCTAAACAAAAGAATAATTAACATTATTATTATTAATTATATTATTAATAGTAGTAGATTTATATTCCAATTTTTTCTGTCTAAAAGAAGACCCAAATTGGCTTACTGTTAATTATATTATTATTAGTAGTAGTAGTAGATTTATATTCCAATTTTTCTGTCTAAAACTGGCTTCATCTTCTTACTTTTTGCATTCTATTTGTATTTAATTTAATTGCATTCATATTATTGCATTTATAATACAAAATGAGGCTTCTGCAGCTTTCCCGCCAAAATTTCAGAGCTCCTTGAGGGGCGGAGCTATGCAAAGGAGGGAACGGTCCAATAAGAGCCGAGCGCCAGAGCGGCAGCCAATCCCCTCTTCCCTTTCTCCGTCGCCGTGGCAACAGCGCCCGCCCCGTTCTCCCTCTGACGTAACGGGCTACTTTAGAATAGTGCGCATGCGCCACCGTGGAGACGCTCCTTCAAGTGAAGCTTCAGCAGCCTTCCCGCCCAAATTTCAGATCTCCTTGACGGGCGGAGCTAAGCAGGGGAAAGACGGTCCAATAGGAGGCAAGCGCGAGGGCGGCAGCCAATCCTTGCGTCTCTTTCTCCCGTCGTCATGGCGACATCCCCCGCCCCTTTCTCCCTCTGACGTTACGGGTTTCCTTTAAAAGCGGAAGCGACGCACTGCGCATGCGCCACCGGCCAAGTGAGCACAAGGCAGCCGTGTGTGCAAAGCGGAGGAAACAGGTAATTGTCCTGCTGCTACTGGACTCAATTTCCCATCAGCCCCACAATGCGTGACCCATTGCGGGGCATGACGGGAAATGTAGTTCTGAAGGCTTTGTGCGGCTTGATGGCTGAAAAGGAGGCCTGTTGTTGTGAGTGGCTGCCTCTAAGTGATTGGGACTTGTAGGAGAACACCTTAGAGGTACTTTAACAGAACTGGATAGTCCAACTAATTCATATATATGTGTATATATATAAATATAATTCATATTATAACACAGTTGTATTAGAATGCATAGATAATAGGTGTGTGTGTGTGTATAGGGTTGGACTGGATGGCCCACGAGGTCTTTTCCAACTCTGTGATTCTATATTATTCATATTATGGGTATTTTTATAAAACAATTGAGTTGTAAAATACTTCATAGATAATTGTGTGTATATATTATTCATATTATGTGTATTTCTGTAATACTCAAGTAACTCAGTTGTAATATATGTGTATATAATTGTGTGTATGTCCCCAGAGTATATTCCCCACCTGTATGAAGGTCTATATTTATGACCCTTTACCAGTTTCTCCCCTGCAAACAATCTGCTCCACCTCAGACATCAGAAGAGCTGCAAGACCGAAGACAAGCCACAAGAGTAAAGACGAAGATCCACCCAGAGGAAAAGTGTTCCTGCCATACATCAAGGGAACCACTGACCGCAGAGGGAAGCTGATGAAGAAGAAACACAACATACAAACAATCTACAAACCCACCAAGAAAAGGTTGTTGTGGGTTTTTTTGGGCTATGTGGCCATGTTCTAGAGGCATTTCTCCTGACGTTTCGCCTGCATCTATGGCAAGCATCCTCAGAGGTAGTGAGGTCTATTGGAATTAGGACAAGGGTTTATATATCTGTGGAATGGCTGGAGTGGGGCAAGGAGCTCTTCCAACAAATGCTTCGTTCAGCAAAGGACAAGAGGGATCCTCTCACCTCTGCAGGAGTCTACCGTGTACCATGCAGCTGTGGACAAGTCTACAGAGGGACCACCAAACACAGCAGCATTGCCCAGACACGCATCAAGGAACATGAAAGGCACTGCGGACTACTTCAACCAGAGAAGTCAGCCATAGCAGAGCACCTGATGAACCAGCCTGGACACAGCATATTATTTGAGAACACAGAAATGTTGGACCACACCCACCATGTCAGACGACACAGAGAAGCCACTGAAATCCACAAGCATGTGGACAATTTCAACAGAAAGGAAGAGACCATGAAAATGAACAAAATCTGGCTACCAGTATTAAAAAACTCTAAAATTACAACAGCAAAACAACAGAGAGGAAACAACCAGGCACAGATTAACACCTCCCAGCAAGAGATTTTCCCAGGCTCAGGCAGGCCTTCAAATGCTAATGAAGGCGATCAGCTGAAACATTCACACCTAATTGCAGCAGGGAAGAGCTCCTTGCCCCACCCCAGCCATTCCACAGATATATAAACCCATTGTCCTAATTCCAACAGACCTCACTACCTCTGAGGATGCTTGCCATAGATGCAGGCGAAACGTCAGGAGAAATGCCTCTAGAACATGGCTCTATAGCCCGAAAAAAACCACAAGAACCTAAAGAACCAATGAACGAAATCACACCAAATTTGGCAACAAAATGTCTCACAACACAAGGAGTGACCATCACTCAAAAATTATGATTTTGTCATTTGGGAGTTGTAGTTGCTGGGATTTATAGTTCACCTACAATCAAAGAGCATTCTGAACTCCACCAATGATGGAATAGAACCAAACTTGGCACACAGAACTCCCATGACCAGCAAAAAATACTGGAAGGGTTTGGTGGGCTTGACCTTGAATTTTGGAGTTGTAGCTCACCTACATCCAGACAGCACTGTGGACTCAAACAATGATGGATCTGGACCAAACTTGGCACAAGCACTCAATATGCCCAAATATGAACACAGATGGAGTTAGGGGGAAATAGACCTTGACATTTGGGAGTTGTAGTTACTGGGATTTATAGTTCACCTACAATCAAAGAGCATTCTGAACCCCAAAGTAACAGAATTGGGGCAAACTTCCCACACAGAACCCCATGACCAACAGAAAATACTTAAGGCCATCCAATCCAACTCCCTTCATCAGGGCAAGAAAACGTAATCAAAGTCCTCCTGACAAAGAGCCATCCAGCCATAGAGATAGATAGATAGATAGATAGATAGATAGATAGATAGATATTGCTATGATTCATACACAGAGAGATATAGTATCATAGATTTGAAAGGGACCCTTAAAGAAGGACAATGATATCTTGCATGTTCCAGCCACTCTCCAAATCAGCCACTCTCCACATCAACACTGACTAAAGAAACAGCAAGAAATACTGTTTACCCAAAAGCATAAAGAAATTACATATATTAGAAACCAACACTTTCTCAATACTTTATTTTCCAGATCACCAGACTGGGACACAGCAATGCCTGGCAGGGGACAGCTAGTTGTAATATAATGCATATATGAGTGTTTATAAGTGTGTGTGTGTGTGTGTGTATATATATTCATATTGCTTGTATTTTTACAAAACTTGAGTAACTCAATTGTAATATAATGCATATATAATTCTGTGTGTGTGTATATATATATTCATATTGTTTGTATATTTACAAAACTTAAATAACTCAATTATAATATAATGCATATATAATTCTCTCTCTCTCTGTGTGTATATATATATTAATATTGTTTGTATTATTACAAAACCTGAGTAACTCAATTGTAATATAATGCATATATAATTCTGTGTGTATGTGGATCAGCACCCCAAATAACCAAACCGAATCTAAAGTTGACCAAAAACAGATTTGTATATGTGTGTGTGTGTATATATATTCATATTATTATTTTTTACAAAACTTGAATAACTCAATTGTAATATATGCATATATAATTTTGTGCGTATGGGAATCAGCACCCCAAATAACCAAACCAAATCTAAAGTTGACCAAAAACTGATTTGTAACCCTTTCGGAACTAATCCACATTATCTGATTTGAACTGGATTATATTAATCTACACTGCCATATAATCCAGTTCAAAGCAGATCATCTGGATTTTCTATGGCAGTGTAGATGGAACCTTGTAGATTTTTAGGCCCTTTTCCACAGAGCTGTATAAAATGCACATTGGACTGGATTATATGGCAGTGTGGACTCAAATAACCCAGTTCAAAGCAAATTTGTGGATTATCTTCCTTGATATTCTGAGTTATATGGCTGTATGGAAGAACCCTGAAAGAAAACACTTGTCTAGGCATTTGTAGGTCTTCCAGAATGTCCTGTTGGAAGTTGAAACTAGAGGGCCTACAGTTTGTCCCAAAGGTGCTATTAAATGCCTTTTTCCTGCTATCTCCCATTTCCCTTTCTATACTGTGAAACTCGCACTGGTCAGAAAGTATTGGAAGAATTGGGAATTGTTAATAAAATGTAAATAATATGAGTAAAAATATATAAAATATCAGATGTCTTTCTCTTTTTCCCCAGCACATCTACGCAGCCATGCAGCGGGAGCAAAGCCCACAGGTTTCCCTCATTGACAGACTCATTAAGATGCGGAAAGAGACAGCGGAGAGGAGGGTGGTCTTGGCTTGGGGGCTCCTCAACCTCTCCCTCGCCGGCATGATTTATACTGAAATGTAAGTGCCAGGTTGTGGGTCTTTTCACATTGCACAGTTGCAACACTATGATTCCACTTTAGCAGGCCATGGCAGCAT